GTGTACAACCGCACTTTACCGAGCATCCACTAGTACCTCCAGGTTTTTTGTCGCTGGACTTGGTCTATCTGCAGTCAGGATTAGCGCATAGTCTCGTTCGGTTCATTTTTCCTGTCAAGATGTGTTACAACCTGTGAACGCTAGTAATTTACCCAAGTTATGCTTTAAATTGCTACTACTGTAACTATGGACTTCTTTATGAACTGATACGTGTTCGAAAATCGTCAAGCTTAGTTATATTAGAATAGCGAAAATTATCGCAGGTACCCGAGAACAACGTATGTATTGCGCCTGAACCGAGGAGACCACATGTCACCTGCTTGCATTTGATATCGGCATAGGGGCCTGCAACCTGTTGTGATGATTTGGATAGCCGTTGGATACACGACACGCACATCTCTAGTTCAGATGGACGGTAATTTGAACGCAGATAAGTACATTTCTGACATCTTACGTGCAGTGGTTGTGCTCTATCTTCGAGGTCCTCAAAAGCCATGTTCCAGCAAGATAATGCAAGATCACATGTTGCACGTTGTGTTCCGACCTTCCTCGATACACAAGGTATTCGATTGCTGTCCTGGCCTGCACGTTCTCCAGATCTGTCACCCATATGAAATATCTGGTCATGGGTTGCTGAGAGACTGGTCCGCCACCCCTCTCCAACTAATACGGTTGATGAAGTGTGGTAAAGACTTGAAACATCATGGAATGAGTTGCCTATTTCTGTCATCGAAGCTCAGTTTGACTTCTAAGGGCCGCTTTAGCTGCCTCGAGTGGCAGCTGTTTCTACTAATTTCGCACCCCTGTAAACCTCCAAAATGCTTACAAATTTAATCATGTTGTCTTCATGCCATACTGTTTACGTGCAGTAAATATATTTTTTGTATCTGCTTTCTTTCCCGGTTTTGCAATTTTAATGGCCAGCAGTGTATTTTATTCGGGATAAAAATAACGCAATAAACCGAAAACTAGATCAAGTAATTTTTTTTAACTCATAACGCACCAATAAAAATAAAAGATGAATGATGGGGCTACCGAGAATTTACTAAAGAAGTAGGAAAATTATTTTAAAATAAGCTGTCAAACCCCCAGGAATTTTGTATAAAAAGATATAATTTAATTTTCCCTTCGAAGCTATAATGATAACCAAAATATAAAAATCCAAACTAGCCTTAAAACATTTAATTAGCTCATCAGATAAGAACTGTATCATAGGCAGTTTTATTTTTTCTAATGAAAATTGCAAATGTACATAATTCACATTACTTTAGTTAAGACCTTAGATACATCAAGAATACAATATATTGCAAAGTTAATTAATATCTGTTACCTTTTGGAAAGTAGTACCGCTATCTATAATAAGTCACAGAAATGATTTTTTTTTTTCTTTTGATATTTAAATTTAAAAATATAGTAAGCAACCGAAATATTTCTTTTTTATCCTTAGATAAAAATAACATCTAAAGCTGCAGCTCATAAAACTAAACCATTCTTGTTGACGAAATATAAGTTGTGTTCAAAAGGAATTCAAATATGAAAATTTCTGCATTTGTTTCAAACAAGTTTTCGTTTTCTGTGCAAGTATTGAAATCACAAAAATTTCGGGTACCGTTTTTCTACGAAAATGTACATTTTGACCTCTCTCGAATTCATTTGAACGATGATTTTGCGTTTATATCTGTACATACGGACAGAATAAAGGACTCCTTTTCCCGAAACGGATTGTAAAACGAATTTAAAATGAATTCAGAAGAGATTTGTTTTTCTTGGCGTCTGCACGTACGTATGTATCTCGTATAACTCAAAAACAAGTAGCCAAGAACGTTGAAATTTTGTATATGCGACTGCTATAACATGTAGTTGTGCACCTCCTTTTTAATTGCAATCGGCCGCACCAAACGTATATATGTATCCACTCTCTTACCAGGCCCCGTGAGTTCAGTTTTTTATTCTTTTATGCTGGTAAATTGTGCAATGTTTTGCTTTAAAAGTAATTGAATTATGTTGTTCTTTATGTTCCAGATACGGTTTTATTTTCCCCTTTAGTTAGCCTGAATGCAGTAGTTAACTTTAGTTAGCCTGAATGCAGTAGTTAACTTTAGTTAGCCTGAATGCAGTAGTTTACGGTTTCATTTTTCCCTTTAGTAGCCTGAATGCAGTAGCATGCAATGTTTGTAGAATTATCAACAATTTAAAAATTGTTTAAGGGGTAGGAAGCCGCCATTTGTTTACATTTGAAACTCTTAGTAGAACAATGAATTAAGTCAGTTTGTGCGCCAACTTCAATGTCTTTTTGCCAAGTGAGACCAAAAGTAAACTTTTAGGCTTGTGCACCTTTTTGCAGGGCTGTCTTCCTGTCTGCTTGACAAATTGCTTGTTTTTGTGTAGAAACTAATTTTACAAGTGTAAAAAGTGTTTTGTTTTTTTAACGGTTTTTAACTGTACTTGGTGTTTTATGTTTTTCTGTATTTTACAGTTTTTAATGAAGATGTTTTAAGTTTTTATGTATTTTTGCTTTGCCGCGAAGTGAGAACTGAATCAATTGAATGACGAATATATCTCTAATGAAATTCGAGGATATAAGTTTAAATGACACACAGCAAAAAATTTATATAATTTAATACGCCGTACAAGGAAGTCAAGTGGTGTCCACGCCAGATTTTTTAAAAAATTAAAATCGTATGAACAGAAGAGTGTTAAAATATTAAAAATCGTACAGCCACTAAAACATTCTTTTAAAGAAAGAAATACATAAGAAAGGTAACAAGTTATAGTTCTAAAATTTCACTATAATGATTGAAATATAGCCAACATCATTTTTCAGTAATTTTGCAATATGACATACAACAAAATTTTCTAGGTGACATTGCGTGCAAGAAGTATTGTAAGACGTTTAGCAATACACTTATTTTGTTTAGTGATAATCATGATACAAAATGAGGCTTCTTGCAAAATACTTATCACATACCCGAAAAAAAAAAGATTCATTGAGTGTATTTATTATCCTGATGAGCGGTGCACTTTTATTATACTGAACATGAATGAAAAATGCTATCCATCGTCAAATGGTAACGAGGCATATTCATAACGGACAAGATTCTATACCTAAAACGGTAATAACACCACGAGATTAAAAAAAGCGATATCTAACTGTAATCATATCTCATCTAAATAATTACCGAAAAAAATGATAATTCATAATTTGGTTCGATTGTCCTTTTCTTCTAGTGCATGGGAAAGAATTTTATTTTGAAGTCAAGAAAAGTTCTCAAAGTTTTTCGAAAAGTGATCGACTGTTACGCTGTTTACATTACATTATATTACGTTAAGCTACATCATCCACTCACTCTGGCAAATACTGCCCGATGCGTTGAAATATAAGGTCTCCAATTTATCTTCCCTCTGATCACGTGACTTCATGACAACTTCTGTTCTCAGAAAGTTGCCATTTCGCAAAACTTAAAACTTTTGATTTATTTCTCAAATTAAATCTATTTTAAAGCAATAAATTTACTTCTTGATAATTTTCCATTTTTTAGTACTGTGTCTAAATGACATAAATTAAAATACATTTAACTTATATTATACCAAACTGATAAATTTAATCATAGTTTGATGGGTTATTGCAATTAAGTTAAAATGTTTCTATAGCCATACTGTATATTATACAGAATCGTTAATTTTAGTCCGAAAGGGCTATGAGTCTCGAAATGCCATTTTGCGTGGTCCACTGTAAATGAATGGTTTCACTTTTCACTCGAGCCTGTTGCCATTTGGAAAAACGTAACATATTATTCTTTCATAGTTAATTTGTCTGTTATTAATTAACAAACTAAACTATTTAAAAGAAATAGATGCAGTTCTACTTTTTGATCTGAATGGTTTAAATAAAAATGCATTTAATTCTTTATACACCTAATTAAGAAAATTAATTATTTTCATGGAAATACATTACCTGCTTTATCATTTTTTAAATATACAGAAGACGTATAACGTTATCATGTTAGTCTAAGTGCCTGTTCGTCTAATTGTTGTTCTATAAAAGGTTTCGCTACTCCGCCTGGGACAACACTATCAGTAATCCCTACTGATTAAACCATGTTAAATTTTAAAAGATCCGTTCTGGGTGACAGTTAAAATCTGAAACTTTTCAAATTTCATTTTTTAATATTATTTTCATTCATCTCTTAATATATTTCGACGAATGTTATCAATTACCGTATTTACCGGCGTATAAGATGCACACCCTTTTTTATACACATTTCTGAAGCATAAAACTTTGTTACTGATCCTCATAAATAACTTGCAGTATTTTAAATATAAAGTAATACAAAGTTAAAGTAATACTTTCTGCAAATACCCAATCTATCTGGGAAAGAACACTTTCTTCGTAAAAAACCAGATACTCATCTTCATAGCTAAATGAACACTTGAAACCTCTTCTAAATCATCATCTGAGTCCTCCTACAGCAAATTGTTTTCTGTACTATACAGTGTTTCCATGTTCTTTAGCATACGCAATCGCACATAGTTTATATGAGATGTTATAGCACTGCTGACGTTATTTTTGAGTCATAACTTGCCAACAAATTCAAGAAAATTGAACATTTATATTTATATATAGGAATTTTTTTATTACGCTATATAGAGACTTTTCGTGACGCCTCGTATAAATCTCACAAACAGTGTTTATATTAATATGTTTATTTCCTATTTAAGGCTACAATAAGACCAATATAGAGCATTTGTAATTATATGATATGGTAGTTGCTTGGGTAGTAGTTAATCATGATCATTACAATTTCTCGAAATCTTTACCGTTTCAAAATCCACCAATAATTCGAACTTTAGCCCAGTGGCTTGAACTAATGACTACACTGACTAAGTTTTAAATATTTATGACATTTAGGACAATTGTTGAAGTACAATGGGTTATTAGTGTATATAAAATTTTTATTTTTGAAAAGGACAGATATAATTCCATTTTTATCTTTTTATAGGCGGGATTTCTGACGTTTCTTACCGTTACGGCATTTATGCGAACTTCGGCACAGTTGTGGAATAACGGAGAAACAGGCGTGATGGTCCGAACTCTCTACTTACCTTTGTACAAAGGCAGTCACTCTACACCTTTCCCCGCCTTTAAAAAGTCACGTCCACTTTCCTCGCTTAACTCCCATTATCAGCAAACTTCAGTTCCTGACGACAGCTACCAACAAAATGTTAGAATCTACGAGCGTGATAATCCACAACAGCAAGCAATTGGATTCAGTGCTGAAAATGAAATGCAAAAAAATAGCAATTTACTCCATAGTCAAGCATCTTCTGTCGTTAGCTCCCCTCAAAGCAATTACCAGTATTTGCCCAATAATGCAGGTCAGCAAACGGAGGGAATTTCTGTGAGTGTGAATGGTGAATCTTCTCAACAAACTCATCAACAGCTTTCAGCAAATAGTGAAATGAATATGAAAACTTTAGATATGCATTACAGAAATAGCTCACCTATTCTGACACAGCGGAATTTTATGAACTTTAATCATCCTTTACATCTTAGCCACTCTTCTTCAGTATACGGATCGGAAGACAAGCAGGTAAATATGTCTGAGCAGCAAGGAGCAACCAATGTTCAAAATCTGTACTCCTTCAAAGATCAAAGAATTCAGTCACTTCCTAATATTTCAGGTTACAATCTATCAAATTATCCCTCTAAATTAGCACAGCAACCATATCTTGTGCAAAAAATATCACCACAACATTATGATAGTCAATATAATGCCCGAACCCAGCAATCTGTCGGTCCAATGTTAATTTCACAACAACAAAGACAACAGGAACAATTTATCCAGCAAACAGTTCCACAATTTAATGAAAATCGACATAACAGCCAAGAACAACCACCAGTACATCCAACCCAAATATCACAACCACATATCGTTCAGCAGGCAACTCCAGTTTATGACAACAAACATTATGCTCAAGACCAGCAACCAGTTACTCCAGCACAATTGTCCCAACAACAGCATCTCAACCAACAAATAGAGCAAGCTAGAGTTGGGAATCGATACAATATTCAAGAGCAGCAGCTTGCAAATTCGTATGAGCAACATTTAAGTCAACCTCAACAAAAAACCATTCAATCAGTTTCCTCACCTGCCTTACAGCAAAACCAATTAAATTCACAGTCGCAAATGCCATATCAGCATCAGACGAAATATGAAGCTCGTATACTACCCACACAACAGAATTTTGGTGCAGGGGTCTGGAATCATAATGCACAACAAAACATGCAGTCAAACCAGCAAGCACTCTTAACGCATCATCAGACTATTCCAAGTCAGCAATCGGGGCAAATCGCACGGAACCATGCACAGCAGCAACAAAGAGGTTTAATACAAAGTTATTCTGCACAAAACTCGCCACAAACTCAACCAGCTGAACAGAACGCTAAAACGAACTTTGGACAATCCTCAACATATTCCACTACTCAGAAACAATCCGATGTTTCGATTCCTTCGTATTCTGGTAATGCACAATCAGATTACTCTAATACATTACCAAACCACGACAGCATATCGACACCTATGTTAACTCAAACTGGTTTGAACGGTATTCAAGCAAATGGTGTGGACAATAAGTACACTAGGCAAATCTTGCATCATGGTCAATTGCAGCTTCTTCAGAAGGACTACACTGGAGGCCAACATTTCAAAATCCATTCAACTTTACCCTCGCAAGCTCTAGATCAAACGGATGAAAAGAAGCCTTCAACTACATCTTACCCTGATCCAGCGCATGAAACCTTCTACCCTGAAAATAAACAAGTGTACCTCGCACCGCCTCCCGAGTTTGGTGCAGCTGCCTCGTCGTTGCAAAACATGCAACAAAGAACTTCAAATTCTGTCAAACCCTCACAGTACAATTCAAATTTTTACAGAGATGCTTATAACCCTGGGCAACAAAATGAACAGTTAAGCATTCAGTCTTCAACGTCTGACAGTAATTTTGCATTTCAAGATGTAGGTGTTAAACCCATGTATGGTTACAGTTATGAATGAAAACGTAATGATTATTTTAAGATAGGAAAATGTTTTGGTCAATTACTAACACTTTTTAACTACAGGATTTTAACATCGGCTGGCCGGTTTCGTCCTATATTTATGAAAATTTTCACGAATATATGCAGAATGTTTTAAAAGAAGTCATAGCTTTTAAGAAATTGAAACTAAGGAAGAGATGAATAATTTTTGCTCACAGTTTATTGTAAAATAATAACGCTTAATTTTTCAACGTAAGTGTCAAGTTCAATATTCCTGCATACTGTGATTTTCTAGACGAATAAATTTGAAATTTATTTCCTGCTAGATGTGAGAGAGCACATTTTGCGTAAATTTAGAAATGATGCCAATAATTTTAATATAGATTTTTTGAATGCAGATTGGTAATGGTCATAAGTATATAATTTTCCAATAAAAATTTTTAAGAAAAGCTTACAGATTTGAAACCTTAAACCAATTTATCCAGCTTGCTGGTTTGTATCATGAAAAGCCACCATTTCCAAACCATGTGACTCATAATGACGTCCAATGCTGAAACTTTGTTACATAGTTAAGCAATTAAAATTATAGCTAAGTAATTCCCAATATAAATTGTGTCACTCAATGTAGCTTTTACAAGGTTTTGAAAATTCTTTTCCAAAGTTTGTACTCCTTTTTAAAGTCATCTGTCTTTCACATTACTTTCCTTACCACAAAGCATAATTTTTTTACTTAAAAATCACTTTCACGGTGAATTTGAGGTATATTTTATAACCAGCAAGCTGGATAAAATGCGAAAATGTTAATCAGGAAAAGAATGTATGTAAACGTTTGAAAAACTGGAAAATATTATGTATATAAGTATCATCTAGTGCAACAAGTTACATGTATTAATGTAATTGTAGACAAGTAATTTAATAAACATAAACAGAAGCAAATCTGTCTTGAATTTTATTTTAATATATTTCGAAAACTGTTTATTATGTTAAATTGTTATGTTATAGCTCTTTATGTTTGAGTGTTTATTATGTTTCTTAACTGCTATCTAGTGCTGAAATTAATAATCTCTTTCGTGACAACTTTAGATTATAAACATTCTTGTTTATAAGAAATAAATAAATTTTTTCTGTAACAAGAAAACTTTAATAATTCCGAATAATAAAGATGTACAGCATAATTATAAATATTTGGAGTAAATGGTACTGCAGTCCATTCGGATATTCAACACATTATCATTACTTATTTTAATTTTTACATGAAATGCACATTTATTGTAAAATAATGTGAGCCAGTTTTCCTTTTTCATTCTTCGTATTTTAATATAATCTATACTTTCATAAAAAATTACAGAACACACATTTTGATCAAAATTAAATATAATTTTTACACTGTTTTATTTTGTATTATTATTGTTGTCAGCTTGTTTGGATCATGAAATCGGATTTTGGATTTATTTTCAATGATTAAATTTTCTTGAAATTTTGCAAACATATGTGATTGTGATGACAATTCTTCATAGCAATTCTTAAAAGCTTATATAATTTTTTTTATTTTAATACTGAAGCACTTTGGAAATTTTTTGTATATCCTTGCTTAATTATCACCAAATTTCTTTCTTTGAACCATAAAATAGATCGAAAAAATAGCCTTCGCGATGAAGTATTTTCGAAATCTTTAACACATATTCATCTGTTTTCAGAGATTTTTACCAAATTTATCGATTATTTTAGGTACAGAATCAAATTAAAAGATTTAATTTGTCATTGTTTATAAAACTCACGAATTTAAGCGATGATGAAATCGGATTTGAAATCAAGCAAAATTTTGAACGAAATGAATATAATATTGCGTCGAACAGAACAGATGATTTCGAAAGAAAGGTGACACTATGTACTTCGTAGCTGCGGTGAATAGAAAGAAAATTTTCTCTGCGTTCAAAGCCATGGATTTTGCTTATTACCACCCGTATTCCATTGGCTAAGAAAATAGAAAACAATATGTGAAAAGCTTTTTAAATTGCAGTTTTAATTAAATGAACTAAAAGGCAAAGAGTCTGTTTTAGATTTCACAATATTTCGATCACTTATGACTAAAGAAATCATGGTTGTTTATAAAAAATTACTTCAGAATATTAACAGAATTTTAAAGAATAGAACATGTGGTACTGATGGTACAGAAATATCATAAACAAGGATAGTAATATTTGTTTCCCTTAAATTTATTTTCAGAATCCCGATTTTATCTTTATGTCATGAGTCATATATGACCAAAAATTTCGTACAGTAAGACCCCGCTTAACGCGGGGGATACGTTCCATCAAAGTAGAGCGTAATGCGAAACAGCGCTAAACGAGGCTATCTTTACATGTAAATATTGGGGTTAGGGGAAGATGGCTAGGAAATTGGTTAGGTATTAAATTTAAAAAGTATGTTTTTTTAATAAAAATAAAACAAAACATTTATTTCTTAGAGCCCAAATTAATACCACATTATTATTTCTATTATTATTATCTATTAAACCATCCTCGACTAGCAACGAAAGTTTCACTTTTGTCAATTGTCTCAGCCTGAATGTAATTAAAAATTCTTCTAGCTTTTTCCATTATGATAGATTTGGCTTAATGGCATATTGCGGTCAATTTCCGTCCGTCAATCCATATAGACAGTCGTTTTTTTTTCCATTTCCTCTATGATATTATTTCTAGAACGGGTAATTTTAGTTGCAGAGCTTGACGTAGTTGCAGTTGCCGATGACAGTATTTTTTCTTTATTCTTCATGATGGTCCTTATTGTTGAAGTTGGCAAATTCAATGAAGCACTAATTAGAGTTTGACGTTCACCAGAATCTAATCTTCTAATCACTTCCATTTTAGTTTTGAGTGAAATGCTTTTTCTGGTTGCTTTCTTTCTTTTTTTTTCATTATCACCCATAGTAAAAAAACTAAAGATCAAAATATTTGACACTGTAATATAGTATTAAATATGTAAATTAATACCTACTTACAATAATGTCAACAAATGTTTCCAATAATAAAAATATGTCTGTACAATACTGCACCAAACAAGAAATACAAGTACACTCTTTCGGATATGTATTTGAAACCTATCGTTGCATAATATTTCGGGGAATCCCCGTATGCTGCGAGCGATTTCGTGGAATTCCCGGGTTGAAATAAAAGAGCGCTAAACGAAAACAGCGCTAAACGAAACAGCGTTAAGCGGGGTCTTACTGTATTTTGTAATAGTTAAAAATAATTAGCCCAAAGGGGACGTTAGTCTCGAATGCGATATTAGTTTTTGGGTTAAGGGGAGTCATCACCTTTGCCCAACACAAAAAGTAAGAATTTCGACGGATTTTCGAGTTTTAATAAGTCAAATAGTTATGGTCATAGATACATGAAATTTTCAGTGTGTCATCTCTATACATAGATAATTATGTTTCTTGATTTATTTTACTAATAGTGTATAAAAATTTGTTCTATAAAGAAAAAACAATCTGTATTCCCCCCAAAATTTAAAATTTGTACTAAAGCACTGCGCGCAAACTGACAGTAATACAAATCTAGTTACAGTAATAATTTTTACAATTTTGTGATGAAACATCATTAGGTATGATCTGCACCTGTTTAAATTTTAAAATATCAAAGAATATTAACACCATTACAATCAGATCTTAGGAAACAGAAAAAGTGCTAAAAATTTTTCAGTAAAATTTTATAAAAATTTAAAAAATAATTTTTCAAAGAAAAAAGTAGGTGCATTTTTTCCAGCAATATCATCATGTACTTACCCTGAAATTTTTAAATCAATAGCTATGATAGATTTTTTTAAAGAGTGCGCGCAAGTATGAAAATCACCATTTTGAGAAAAATGGTTTTAAAGTTTCAAAATTTTCAATATATTTTCTCTCAAATAACACTAAAACAGTTCAAAACCGCCCAGCTGCATACACCGTACCCTCCTGTTTTTCAACAGTTGTTACTGCAGCAAGTTTGGCTCCTTTTCTTGCTCTGCAAGCATTTATTGTAGACATCTCTGCCTTTATTTCGTCTGACTGAATTCGACGTTGATCAGTGTCTGCTACAAACCTGACTGCATTATCACCAATTCGATATCCAAGTTCATTCCTAGTATGTAATCGTCCAGCTTGACCTTCGTTGTATATAATAACTGCCTCATTTACCCTCATTTACTGCTGTCTTAACATTATAACCATACCCGGAATTTTTAGGACACAATTTCCAAATCAAAGCATTCAATACTTCATTTGGATTCTGTGTTTGTACTCCTAAACACTTTTTTAGTAATAATGACATACTAATACCTTTAAATATATCTTTGATAGCATCCATTACAGGTAGTGGAATTGAATTTTTATATTTGCACGATCTCAGATTTACACTCGCACTCGTTCTTTGATATGTACACCACGAATCCTTCCCTGTTGGACAAAAATTGTGAGTAGGTTTCACGTAGGTTGAACGTTTGTGGTAAAATATTGCCCACACTGCCTTTTGCATATCTTTTACAGAATTGCAATGTTTTCTAATAGCATTTCCATAATAAATTGTATATTATACTGGTTTATAATATCATCCGTAAGGCGACCTTTTCCACTGAGAGCTTTACCGTCACTAAGTTGCTTCCCTTTCATTTCTTGCTTTCGTAATCTAGTGCCCATTGTTTTCTGAATGTGTCCGACACATTCAATTTTACTAATATACATGATATTAACAGTAAAAAATTAAAGCAATCTACGAGTGAACATTCGTAAGCAGCTGCGCGTACAAATATAAACAAACGTCAAGTGATGATTTAAATGCCCGATCTGACAATATTTACCTCAGAATCGTTTTCTTTATTTCATAATTTTTAAAGTTCTAATTCGATTATCGTAACGCCGTTTGTTTTAACAGACTCAGAGAAATGTTTACAGTTTCTAAAAATGCAAAAAAATAAAATTCGATTTTTTGAATGTGTAAAGGGGATGACTCCCCTTTTAAATATTCTACAAACGGCGTATCACTTTTAAAATTGTTGCTACCAAATATTATCACCCTGTATTATATTTAAGAAATTAAATAATAAAGAATCGGCAACCGAATTTTTAATTTCGAATTTGTTTTATTATCTATTTCATAAATAAGTGCTAAGAATATTTTCTGACACTCTCGGACATGTTACTTTTTGATAGGGGTTGGATCTCTGAATCCGAGTACCCCGTGTTGCACCACTATTATCCCCAGTGGCGTAGCTAGGGTGGGGAAAAGGGGGACATCTGTCCCCAGGCGCAGCATCTAGGGGGCGCCAAATTGATGATACGAAATTTTAGAATGAAGTGTTTTCCATTCGTGGCACACAGAGAGGGGCGCAAAATCTTCAGTTGTCCTCGGGCGCTGAAAAACGGCGCTACGCCTCTGATTAACCCACATAAAGTACTTAAAAAACTGAAAATAAAATAAACATTTTATCAATAGAATTACGCTCAGCATGAACTTCAGGCGTAATAGCAGTATTACGACTAATAGTAACAATTGAGGCACCATTAAATAAGCCGCTAAGCTGCCTGAGGATTTTAAAGATGTTCGCAAAGAACTCATTATCTGATTTTTCGGCAATGGGCCAAGTAGTAAATTGACTTGTGGACAGGTTTGGGTTTGCTTCCAGGTATTCATGGCACTATATTAGTGCGATGGGAAGAATATCTCTATCAATAAAAATCGCAACGGTTTTGGTGCATTTATTATTAATAGACTTTAGATGCACGTCAATATTCGTCTGGTCTGGAATAACCGACTTGGGCACATTATTAATTTTTTATTTTCTGTTTTTAAATCTGATGGGGTATTTAAGGCACCCATTATATTTTTCAGTGTAGCGTCTCGTGCAGTTACATCAGTTAGGATTTTCCATTCTCTTGGGACTTTCCGTTCTTCATA